AGAAATGTGATGCTATGTCGCTTTACAGAGAGATATGTTCGGTATTTAAATGTACTTTTACGTATGTATGGATGTATGTATGTATGTATATGTATATATATATGTATATGTATGTATGCATGTGGTTAGTACATTTAGTTCTCTCGCTTTTGTTTTTTGTCGTTTATTTAAATTCGCTTCGCTACACCGTTAATAGTGATTTGATACTTGTGACGTGCATTTACGAGTTGATTTACTTTATTTACGAGTCGGTTCGTATATTCAATCGAGTTAATAACGCCAAGTAATCGGATACTCGATACGATTTTTGTGTGTCTCTTTTTCTAATTTTTAACCTTAGGAGAACTAGGCTAATTCGAGACAAACTCCCCTTTCCTCTTATTAATATATACATACCCACTGTTTTTTTATAAATTAGATTTATTAATTTTAAAAAATATTTATAGTCGAATTCAATACAACTATCGCTCTACCAAGTCCGAGAGACGCTTTTCCCCGGTGCAGATAACATAAAAATTATTTTAAATAAAACTCTCAATCGTGTATATATATATATTTTGCTCGATTAAAATATATAACTTACAATCGTTCACGTAACGTTCATCGAAAAGTCTTACTTCCTAGGCGTCGAGATCTCAGAATAGATAAACATTTAAAACGTAAGGACTGTTCAAAGGTATTGATTCCCAAGAGTTTACAACAATTCGCTCAAAGGCACAAAAGGTCAATGAATCGCTCGATTCGTTAACTAAATTGTTAACTTATATTTACATAGCTCTTGCTATATAGTTTTCCGAGTTGGAATATCAAAATTTTCAAGAACTTTTGGCCGCGTCGGCGAAGGTCGTAGAACCAGCGTGACCACGTGTTTCGATTGTGTCCAAGTATCGTGCACATACAAATTGGGTAACTACGCAAAAAACGTTTAGATACTTTCAAGTATGAAACATGATTTCAAGTTGAATTTCCATAATCGCGTAAGCTCGTTATTTTCCCAACACGGTCTTCGAGGTCGTCGACTATTCAATAAAAGAAGAACGGACAGGGTGGGGTACGCGCGAGCTGGGGGTGAAGGGCAGAATGGGGAAATAAGAAAAATCGAAACGAGTATCCGTTAAAATTCACACTTGCCCAATAAAAATATCCCGATAACGGTCTAAATCCAACAACTTTGCTCTCGTACAAAAGCTCTCTACCTGTATGCTACGTATTATATTCTCGTGTTACTCTACGCACACGACAACGTTTCTAATGATGGTCCATTTCGTTTCACAGCGTTCCAACAATTTCGAATAGTCTCTGAGATTTCAACTATGATAATCATCCTCGCTTTACATATTCGAATAGTTCGTTAAAGAGTCTTGCTGGCACAACCGCGAGGTTCAATATCATTCAGACTTGTACAATTTCCTAACGATAATGTCTATACAATGTCCGCTGAAACGATAGTTCAGAAAATTCTTCAACAAGATCAAGAAACGTACTTACAACCATCGGTAAATAACATACACGACACTATTTTAACATTGTATACCGTGAAATACGAACGATTCTCTAGATTCGAGGAAACAACGAATCGCAGCGATTTTCTCGCGAGATATGCTCTTTAAGTTGTCCTGAGAGAACATTGAACACGGTTGTTACCAACAAGAGATACTCATCTCTCTCTCTCTCTCTCTGTGTGTGTCTATGTGAGTGTGCTTTCATGTAACTTACGCATATTTCATATTAAAAATATACATTAAAATGTATTTACAATGTATGTATCGTTAACGTACACCATTCAACAAGTTCTCTACCTTTAGAGGTATCGCTACGTATATTTTTTTGTCTCTCGTATGTCGTACAGTAAAATAGATCGGTAAGCAAATGTAATCCTTGTTTCTATGCCTTTTGCATTACGAATGCTATTTCTTCACTTCGTATGACCGAGCGTCGGTGGATCGCGGATTAACAACAGACTTCCTCTCAGACAGTTTCGCGTACTAGCTATACCTACGTGAAGTTGGATAAAATGTTCACGTCCACCAAAGTATTTATATTACACGTATGTATGTGCTGTTATCATTGAATTTTGGGTTTTGTGCATTGACTGTGGCAACATATCGGATCGATCCACGCTATGGATCACGAGCCTGAGACCCCACCTCTCTGCGAATAATTACAATCTATGTACCATTTACATAACAATATCTTCTCTGTTGTTGAAAAATAGAACCTTTCGGTCGTAGTAAACGTAACTTCTTTTATCGATTCTGTACAAAATATAATAATTAGGTATCCATTCAAGAGTACGAATCTCAAACACATGATTGCGAGACAACGTATTTAATGTGTGTGTGTGTGTGTATATATGTGTGTGGTATGTATCGGAGATTACTTTGTGCCGATTGATTTCGATTCGATATTTCAGCATACTGTGAATCAACGGAAATTATACGAATATGAAAATGCAAAATCTACGTGTTACGAAAATGCAAAAGTTTGTGCAAACGGTTCTAAGTAGTTGTATAAAAAATAGATGAAACAGACAATAGCAGCTTCGAAACTCTTCTGAGAAATGGTCATACGATATTAGATAATTAACAACAGAATTAACAGTAATTTTATTATTCAACGATCCACCTACCGCGGCTAAGAAGTATATACGTATCTGCAACAAATGCAAAGTATCGCAGAGCTTCTCTTTTAAGGATTTAATTCAGGTATGTACACTTAAATGTATATTTATGTGTTTGTGTGTGTGTGTGTACGTTTGTGCACATGTATATATATATATATATATATA